CGTTATTTTGATAGATTGAAATTTGAATGCAAGTTTCTTAATTTCATAAGCTACTTCCTTACTTTTTGTGAGAAAGTGCAGGGAGGTCTTATGCATTGAAGATCAAATGCAGGTGATCCTATCATTCTATGATCACAAAATGATGAATCCTTCCTTAAAAAGAAGGGTGCTTTAGATTTAGCCCCTTACAACTGTTGAACTCTAGACATAAACTCACCTATATTAAAACATCTAAATAAGACCTAAATTTTGAATTTGATGCCATGTATGATAAAAGATGTTTATACATTAAAATTTATGTACAACACCATGCCACCCACATTAATATGGCCATTACGATTTTTTTTGTAGACTTTTAATTTATTGTCTTTTGTTTGTCAACAACATTCAAATAGTTTAAGTTTTTTTTGCTTTTAATTTAAAGAAAAAAAGGTTATTTTCTTCTTTTATGCGAAATCGCCTAATCCAAATCTAATTAGTTCAATATACATTCTATTGAAAAAGTAAGATATATTAACTTATGAAAATTTTAAAAAAAAAAGGTAAAAATAAACTAGTAGATACATTGTTTCTTGTAAAAACTAAACAATAGTTACATTGTTTTCATAAAAAAATAAACAATGTGTAATTTTTTTTTAATTACACAATAGGTACACAATTTTTGTAAAAATTAAATAACAGGTACTTTATGTTTGGGAAAAAAAAAAAAAAACTAGTAAAAACATTGTTTCTTTTAAAAATAAAACAATGAATTTATATGGTAAATTAGTTTTTATGTATTTTGCATATATGGGTTTGTTATCATGTAGATAAATTATTTTTCATGTATTTTACATATACTAGTTATATTGTTTTTCTTTTTTTAAGCAATCTAACATTTTAAAATTTTAATAGTAGGTGCACTGTTTGAATCAAATGTTTTTTTTGTAGGTAAATTATTTTGCATAAATTTTACATATATCAGACATTTATGTGTGTGTGTGTGAAATAATTTACCTACATTAATATGTAAAATATAATTTTATTGACTTAATTAAGCATGTATAATAACATATATTAGACATGTTTTATGTTATTATATATTAGACTACGAATTTATAACATTAGTGTTTTTTTTTTTTTTTTTTTGTAAAATCATTAATTCTCCCTTACCATCCATCCGCATGGCATTAATTATGTACATCAAACATTCAAATAGGGTTTATTAAAATTAAAAAAAAAATCAAATAGGGGTATTTTAGGCATCCGAAATTTTTTTAATGTGTGAAGTCAAACATAATTAATGAATTTGCTGATGTGGAATCTACTAGTCAATGATTTTTATTCAAAAAAAAAAACTTATGTCGGGTTTTATGTAGAAAAAAATTAAGTTATAGGGGCTAAAGTCATATTTTCAGTAAAAAGAATCTTGAAACAAAACTCCGTTGTTCCATGATAAAACGAATTAGGCAACCTTAGCAATTAGCAGCTTCTTCTTCTTAAAGAAGAACGAAACGTTATCACTAGGCCACATGAATAAAGAAAGACAACCGTGATAATCTGTATACAGGTTCAGGTGGTCCATAATGTTTCCTCCTTGATTGATTTGCACGTCATAGAAGATAGTTCATGGGAGAAGAATAAAGCTCATCACCATGAATACAGATGTAGTGTAGGACTATGAGGTCTCTTCTCCTTCTCCACCATGGGGGGCATGTTGGTGCTGTCTGACAGGTCATTCAAAAGAGATCGATGAGATCCCATCCGAGGTTTAAAATGTGGTGGCCTTAATCAGAAATAGAGACAGGAGGGAGATCGATGGATCGATCAAAACAGACTGAAGCCTCCTCTTGCAGTGGCGGCATAGGCAGCAAACGTACAGATCAACCACTTTGGGTGATGCAGCCCGAAAAGGTTGGATGTCTTTAGTTTAACTCTCACTAATAACAAGTTCCACATAAAATTATTAATCACGAATTCATTGCAACTGAAGATGAAAAAAAACTGTGGTCCATGGTATGGACCTCGTTGGTGATAGGTCACTTTGTGGACCTATAAGAAAGGAAATGAATCACGTTGTTGGAGATAATTTAGTTTAGGGGACTCCCATAATCAATATTGCCTCCCAATTAATTTGCATCTAATCACATGCACAACATGAAGAACTTGGTGGACCTGAGAAATAAGAGAAGACATGTGTTGTATACAAAGTGACCTGAAAAGACATGTGTTGTACACGGAGTGACCTGAGAAATACTTGTTGTACATTCCTATAGTAAACAAATAAACCTTCAATTTCCAAATTTACGATCCATTTTATTATTCAATGGAGTTATAACTTACAAGAGAAACCCTAGCAACTAATTAATTTGTATTTTGCATGCCACGTACTTTACCAGCAGTCACTGTTCACTGGCCTTTGCGGCGTTTGAAGACTGTTTGGCTTGAAAAAGTCGAAGGTTCATGCATGCTTCGGTAGCCGGACAAGGGAGACTAGGTAAAATCGATCTAATCAAACTTTCCCATTTTAATCTGTGGCCTTCTATCGTCGCTTCTTTTTATCGCTTTTCACTCGAAGTCGAGAACTTCAGATTGTGAATCGTAGTTTTCTTCAACGTTGATTGTTGATTCCAGTTGTATTGTTTAGATTCGATATATCTCGTCATATATATAAAAGCGCTAACCAGTTGGTAACGTAAGGTGATCATGATCATCACCCGTAATCCTCCCAGAGGACATCATGCTATCAAATTCTGTCAAGGCTTTCTGATGCAGCTAAGGTGCGTACGCAAGTCTTGGTCCTCTCTCTTCCGCAGCCCTTCCTTTGTCACCGCCTACCAGAACTTTCACTGCAACGATAAAACGAATACTACTTACCCCGTCCTTCAATGCAAGGAACACTTCTTCTCCTCCCAATTAGACCAACAAGGGAATCCGACTCTCGTTGATGTCGTATTAACGGCTTGGTATGTGCTTCACATGATGTTTACCCCTGCTGCACCGGAGAGTCTATCAAACTTCGCCTTGTCCGGAGAGACAAGGCTTGGGTTGAAGATTTCAACACTGAGCACGGATTCATGGAGGACATTAGAAGTAGATATCGATGATCTTCCTTTTGGTCGTCTGACTTTGTTGGCGTTGCTGCATCAGAAATGTGTATGCATCAATGGGGACATGTACTGGAGGCAAACTTATTCCACGATACACGCCTCTTCACTTTCGGGCACCGACGAAAGAACCACCATCTAAAACAAACCCAATTACTTGGTCCTCAATCTTTTAGCGACCCTTGATAAGGGCAGTTAGTTGTGATTATTTTGTATCATCTTTTCTGTCGTGCATTTGGAATGCAAATGTAATGTTGTAGCTGCTCTAGGGCTCGCACACTGATAAGAACTTCCACTGTATAAAAGTATTATCTGTGACTTTCACTGAATTAAATCTGTGACTATTTCTTAATTATCTGTGATTTCATTGTGTAAAAGTGTTCGATTGTAAGCTTGCTGTTTAAGGGTTAACAGGTCAGAGAGTTCTTGATTCTCTGTGACCTTATCTAGCTGCTATGCAACGTTAAGGTGATGATACCTCTAATTTGGGGCCAATATATAATTAATGATATTCGTTAATTCCTTAAAGTTTTCTCTCAACCCAAACTTAGGCATGTTAGACGAGAGGCAAATCTAGCAGCACATGGGCTTGCAAGAGCAAGAACTGGAGAGCAACATGAGGTGGCTTGGTGAACCACCGGCGCGGTAGCGGACATCTTGATTGAGGATAGTTCTATTGAGTGATTACATCTTTTTCTCCCTTATTCGGTAAGGATTTTTTTCTAGAAGTCCACATCATTTCTATGTTCTAAACATTTTGTAAGTATTTTGTCGACATCTTAATGAATATTGTACCCTTTTATAAATAAATAAAAAATTAAAAAAAAAACTTGTAATCAAGCAAAGAGACTCTTGTCCTCACCAAAGTGCAGGCAAAGAGTGGGCAGAAAGTTTTTGGCACAGCGGGACCCATTACAATCCTTTTTTCGATGGAGTTGTAAAAGCAAAAGAGAATAAAAATAAAAAATCTGACGGCTGTGGGATTTGAACCCACGCCCTTTCGGACCAGAGCCTAAATCTGGCGCCTTAGACCACTCGGCCAAACCGTCGAACGTTAAATAATGTCACAGATCGTTATAAATGTAATCTTTAACTATATTTTGGTCTTTTGTCTTTTTCTCTTTTGGTGTTTCTTCAGCTATATTTATTACTCCTTTTAAGAGAAAGCAAAATAAAATGAATTAGTTTAAAAAAAACAGCTAATTACAAGTGAAATTGTAAGTTAGAGTGAAAGAAGTCACTGGGTGGACAATTGGAAGCAATTTTGCATGACAACATACATGTTAAACTCACTTATACATGGTCAAAGGATTAGGATAATGAGAATCACTAACCTTGACTCCAATATGCAAATTCATCTGTTCAATGATATTGTATTATTAATTTGAAATACTATGATAACGTACAAAGCTGAAATAAAATCTCTTTATAGATATGTAACCGACGTATACCATAAACTTTCATATATATCCAAGTCTTAGGCTAATAGTGGCAACGCACTTTAGGAATGATGGAGAGTAAGTTTCAAAAGTGCTTCTATTGAAATTATCACATTCAACCACAACAAGTAACCTAGTGGTAAGGGCGCATACTGCAGCTTCCTAATAAACAAAAAAATGTGGAAGGTCACGGGTTCGATGCTCCGACCTAGTGAGTCTGCTTGGTTGTGACCACGGGTAAGATGAAATTCCCTATAACCTCTCCGGACCCCGAAGGGATGGATAACCGTAACTTATCACCAGTTGTCCCCCTTATTAAAAAAAAAAAAATTGTCACCTTCAACATTTAACATCAAATTTGACTAAAACAAATAAACAAAGAATTTAATATGCACATTATTGCATATATCAATCATTAATAGGATAATACAATTGTTTGCATCACAAGTTAAAATACCAATAAAAGCAGTGACTATGAGTGCTATTAATCCCATTATATTCAAGATAAAAGGATAAAAGGATAAAAAGGTTAACAAGACAGAAAGGAAACAAAAATGTTCACAAATCATAATTCATATGAACATGGGGAACCTTGACAAGAAAAGCATATGTTTACATTTTAACATCAAAACTTTGATTCCAGAAAAAAAGAATCCCTAAATCTTTCCAGAAGCAGATCTACCGGCGACCCGTCCATTTCGGAAAGCATCGCGATAGGGCGTGATTTTCCGGTGGCTCGTAAGAAGAGAAGAAATCCGGGTCCTGCTCAAGGGACTCAGCATAACCTTCCAAAATGTGCACTATCTCGTTGAAATGAGGCCGCTTGTCCGGATGGCTTGACCAACATCGGCTGATGAGACGACTGAATGGCGCAGGGCATGTGGACGGCAATGGGGGTCTTGCATTCTGCACAAAATCAAGCAGATATAATACTACATATAACGGAATAATAAGCTTTTCTACCAAGGAAAGTAACACCTTATCATTGTATTAAGACCACTGCAGGATACTTAGTCTATTGTGTTCGTACAAAAAACCGCATCAACCCGACAAAGTTTCAACTAATTAGGACTCATCTCATCTTCAGTTCCTGCAACCAAACTTGAATGGCAAACTGTAGCTGTGAATCGCCAAATTCTGGCTTTTGCGACAACTTCCAGCACATTTTCCCGTTCATGTGGTTTAGTTTACACAGAACATTTGACTTTCATGTTTACGGGAATCATAAGCGCAACCAAGTAAATTGATTCGCATATTGATGCCATACATTCAAGGGGTTATTCAGAATAGTGCAACCACACGAACAAAGTTGAATGTTCAAGGTGGCAAAACAGACAGGGTTCCCAATTATTCCACAAAATCTTAACAGGTGCAAGAAGATGCCAACCGCTAAAACTGAAACAGATCGAAATGTTAGATGCCAGTATGCTGCTCCTTGGTAGAAGGCAATTAGGAAATCGCTGAAGTTATACTATCATTATGAGGCAGAATTAAACAAACGTTAAATGCAACCCTCCACAACATCCTTCAGAATTCAGATGTCTACATGTATTAGTGCATGACTACCACTGCTTTAAAATATCTTATCAACAAAGAAAAAGATATAGGATTTAATATATTTCTCTGATTTTCGCAGATGTCATTTCCTGCATAGATAAGGATGGCCAAATGCAGCAGGTCCCCACATGATCTGGATAATACAAAGACAAGCATATAAATGACTGTCTCTCACCCCACTTAGGATGCATGTGAGAAACATACTGGTGTAATAGATGCATCACGAAGATAGAAACTAAGAACGATAACAGATAAACTGTAATTTCCTTAATGGCATATTACTTTTACTGGATGGCAATTCAAGAAAGTTTATCAAATGTTGTGAAGTAGAAGAGGTGATACTTAAGATCTTTCTAAGACTAAAAATATCACTGTATGTGAGAGTTATTCAAGCAGTCAGTTTAGGAGGCACGTACAAATTGTATGCTTTAAATTGTATCTTAGTGTGCTAAAATGGGAATATAATATGCGGAAAAGAAAATGATTCAGGAAGGAACACCATCATTCTCTGTTTCCATGATTCTCTAACAGTTTTGAACAGTCAGAAACATATGGGTGACAAAAACAATTTTTAGTAGTACCGGGATTTTTTTAGTCCTGTTATTCGGAGTTCAATATTTCAAGAATGGATATCTTGGCCTCATTTAAATGCGTAGACTAAAGCTTGCTATGATAATATCCCGGTGTCAATAATAGGTATCACCATATCAACACCTCAATGATAACTAATACGTATTGATACAAATTATTAACCGCAGAGCAGGGCAAGTACTATCACGGGTACAATGAGAAAAATACCTTCTGCGATACTGCAAATGCAGCCTGTTCAGGAGTCATGTTGTCAAATGGTGTCAATGCCGTTAAAAGCTCCCACAGAACTATTCCAAAACTGTAAACATCAACTTTCTTTGTATGGTGTTTCTCTTTGATCATTTCGGGTGCCATCCAACGGTAAGTGCCCGTGAATCCCTTTGCACTGCCACACTGTGACTCTAGGCATGAAATTCCAAAATCCGCAACTTTCACAGACATATCTTCCCCTAGCAATAAATTTTCTGACTTGAGATCCCTATGAAGTATACTTTGAGAATGGAGATATTGCATCCCACGAGCAATGTCGAGGGCTAATTTCACAACTAGGCTAAGCGGAACAGAATGTGGATCCTGCTGATGAAGATATTTTCTTAATGATCCCCCAGCTAAATACTCAGTGATAATGCAGAACACTGGAGGTTTCTTACAAGCAGCAACAAACTGCAGAATAAATTTGGTACATGAAGGTCAAAAAACATCAAGGGCAGCTATTGTTTCGACATCAGAATGTTACTACCATGATTCTCTAAAAGTGAAAATTCTTGAAACAACTGATTACAATTTTCGGATTACACGAGATATCAAAAAAGATTAAGGTCAGATATAGAATTATAAGGATGGAAACTCTTAAGTAAGGAATCTGCAACAATCAATCAATGCCTAAATGATGAAACAGTAACAGATTTCCTAAACACTGAGCCGAAGAATTCTGGTTCCATTTTCGAGTGCTTTCTTGCAGTAAGATCTTAAAATGCAGGGTTATAAGGGGTTTTGGGTTTGGGTTTTATACAGACCAAAAGATCACAAAAGTTAGCAGGAAGAAAACCTGAAAAAGAACAAAAACAAAAACTGCATTTCCAACAAAACATCAACCAGGACCACATCCTTGAAAATTTTTCCAACAGAACTGAAAAGGCAAGCAACACCACCTTAAACCCAAGACAGGAGGAGAGAGAGAGAGAGAGAGAGAGAGAGATTTTACAGTGATGATATTAGGATGGTGCAAACGAAAGAGCAAAGCAACCTCAGAAGTGAACTGCTTCTCAAGCAAAACAGCCAACCCTTCATCTTCCTCAGGCTGGCTGATCAGCTTAATCGCCACATCCCTCTGCTTATAAACCCCTCTGTAAATCCTGCTATGCCTTCCCGAAGCAAATTTACACCCAATGTACAACTGTGACATGTCAGCACTCCACTCCTCTCCTTCCCCTTTAATCTCAGCCCCTGAGGACACCAAGTACTTGGACCATGAGACTGCACGGTTATACTCGCCGAGGGAGAGCCTCCTCTCCAGCTTGCCATTGTTGGAAATCTGCTTAAACCAGTGGAAATTCTTCATGGGTCGGCGCCAAAACTCATAAAAAAAAAAAAAACCAGAAAAACTCAGAACCCCTTTGGTATTTTCACTCCTCAACTAGCAGAAAGCCTCCAAATTTGCAGAAAAACTTGGATTTGGAGACGACCCAGAATGATTAAATTGTTGTTTTTCGGACACCTACATTTCGAAATCATCAATCTCTGTGCATTTAAACGCTGGTGGATAATGGATTCAGATTAAGCAGAAGCTGGGAAAAAAGTTGATAATTTTCAAGGCAGTAAGCATGTTTCTGGGCAGAAGGTAGAACCTTGGTCAGAAACCTTGAATTTCTACATATTTAGAGAGAAACCCACCATTTGAAAGACCAAAAGAAGCTCTGGAAATATGGTTTTCGAGCTTCCAAGCCCAAAACCACACATGGGTTTTGAGAAGTTGAGAGAAAGAGCTCAGGTGGTGAGGGATGCAGTAGTTCAAGTAGAAGAAAAAGGTTGAAAGCTTGTAATAACGTGAAGCTAGAAACAAAAACAGGAGGGAGAGAGAGACAGCGAGAGGGAGAGGGAGAGAGAGACAGAGGAATGGGTCGGTTGAGAGATGAGTTGGGAAGTTGGTGGTGGTGGTGGTGGTGCAGTAAAAGCATATGCTATGGGCGGGAGGTGCCTGGCTGTACTTGTCTCATCATCTCATCTCTCTCCATAAAATTCACAGCTCCTACTCTGTACAAACTCCATTCATGAACAGGAACGTGCGAAGATCCACTTCTGAGGAGACAAACTGCAACCTTGTTGATTTTGACCTCTACCTATCTGATTTTCCCTCTTTGCCCTTTTTATCTCAATGCCAAAATGCCACTGCCTTGCCCCTTTGTTACTCTTGGAATGAGCAAACTAGCATGAATAACGTTAATTGGCGGTTGTAAGTACTTAATACATCATAAGCTTTTTCACATTTTGACATGTCAGTTTTTTATTTTTTCAAAGGATGAGGATCTTCTTCGGATCCTCTTTGTGAGGATCTTAAGAATCCTCATATCCTATTCGTTAATTGTACATCATACGGTTAGTTTTTGTTAGGTACTATTTGTTTTTAATTTTAAATAATAAAATTCAAATTATTTCTAACCGCACGATATATGATGAATGACTCAGATACGAGGATCCCTACAATTTGGATCCGGATGGGATCCAAATCCTCTGTCAAAGAACCTCCACCCTACCAAGGAAATTTTTTGCACGTGATTATAAGTAATTGGGCTACGTTTTATATTGCTAGTTAGTTTTACAGTGAAGCCTCAACTTTCTTTATGGTATTAAAGCAGGTTGTCTCGCGTGTGAAGCCTAACGATCACACTTGCTTCACGTCATCCTGATTTGTGTCGTTCAATTGTTAGCTTGAAACTTAGCCACACGTAAGAGGACGTATTGAAAGAACTAATTCCACATCGAAAGAAAAAAATAACGCTTAAAAGAAATTAATTACTCTCCATAATACGAATTAATTTTGTGATAAAACCTCAATTTTTTCAAATACCCAATTTCAATTATAGTCATAATCCACTAGGAATGTCATTGATTAAAGGGTGGTAGCATTAACTATAAGAGTAATTTTAAATATTTTTTAAAGAGTGGTGGCATTAATGATTACTATTAGTAATTTTCATTGTGTACACAACTGGAGGAAGAGATTACTATTTGGTAATATCTTGACTATGACTTATTTTTTATAAGCAAAACATGATTGTGGGCAACACTTGCTAAAGCATTTTACCTCTCAAATTTTGTTCTTCAATAAGTTAAAAGCCCCTATGCAATATTTTTTATTAACAATCATTAAATGTAGTAATTATAATGTTTATTGGCCCTAAAATAAGTACAGAAGTTGGATTTGATCGAATTTAAAAGTGTTAATAATTTAACATTGAAATTATCACACACTTGTAATTTCTTTCAATATTGAGATCCGATAAATTAGAATCAAAATCTTATCCATTGTGCACTTTCCTATCTAAAGATTGAGTAAAGAATTAGTGATTAGAGAGGAACTCGTGTGCTTCGGTAAAGATACCTCATCACTCATCAAGAATCTTTTAGTAAATTTTAGAAGATACAAAACACTCGGTGATTTCATGATCGATGAAGTACGGTACAAATAACTTCTTTACGGGGAAACAATATCTCATTCCAACTCCGAAAATAAAGTGAGCTTTAACGACCGTGCTCAAAACTTCTAAAGCAGAGAGGCACCAACACCAAGGCTATTTTAGTCCCTCAAAATTTCACTCGAGGGTATATGAGTCATTTCATCAAGCAGGGCGTACGTTACAAAACTTGTAACAGTAACCGAAGAGGACAGAGGGATCCGTGGGAGTGTCAGAGAAGTCGTATGGTCCTCTTCCGTATACGGTCTCTCTCTCCCCTCTACCTCTCTGATTCCTTTTTAATTTTTAACTTCTATTTTTTAGTATATTGATATTTTTATATTAGAAAATGAGAAATTTGGTTAAGCCACGTAATAGATAACTTAATTTGGTATCGAATTCGTCATCCAAGAGATTCAAACCTAAAACTTTTCACTTCCAAGTGAAAAGAAATACTACTAGACTGAGTGACTATTTTTTTAACTTTATTTACTAGTTTTCCTTTTAAACATTATTCGATTAGAGTATGTAAGCCTTACAATGGTTAGCCATAATGTGATTCGTCTTTGATGGTAATCAAATCTAAAACTTCTTACTTACAAATAAAAAAAATTATTACTAAATTGTAATATTAAGTGATAATATTTTCTTTTGTTTTAAATCACCAATAAAACAAAGAAAAAACAAGAAAGAAAACTGATCCGCTCATGGAGCACGAAAGTTTCACTCTCCGTATGACTTGGCCAACTGACTCTGTCTGGGTTCACACAGACAAGAGGTACAGCCCAAATTGCACCCACAAGGTACAAGGCCTACAAAGCATGCAAACAATTTACAACTACGACTTGGCTGGGTCCTAATTTGCCTGCTGGACCGATTACCAATCTAAACAAGTCTAAAACATCATTAATTCCTCCCTTGTGTTGTGCTTCCGGTCAGTTGTTCATGCACGAGTGGTCGAATCTCAACTGTTGATGTATGCGACGGCTTACCAGTTAAATTTAAAAGTTTTGTTTGGATCAATTGTTGTTATATTGTAATGGTTAAATATCAGTTGTTGATGTATGTAAGTTTATATCACAGTAATCAACGTCTTACCAATTAAAGATTTAGAGTTAAGTATGGATCATTTGTTGATAAGCTAGTGGGTGATTCTTACTCGTTGATGTATGTCGACAGATCATGGTGACGACCAAGATTTATCATTTATGCTTGGCTGGATATCCCACTTAAACATGATCAAATAACTTTAACGTTATATGCAAACATGTTTGAGGCAATTCATTGGTTAATCAATCTTCTATAATAACCCATGGACAAAAACGTTTTGCCCTTCATACAATTTGATATTTGTGATGTTGTTATACTTCATCTAATCAGTCGACGTTATGATTTCTAGATTTTATCAAGTAGTGTTTACAAATTGATCAAGCAAGGCATGTTAGATGTTGCATGACGTATTATTTTGAGGCTTAAACCTTATCATCAAGATCTACAAAACCATTCATTTTTTAGCTAAAATGGTCATTAAGACTATTATAACTCTTCAGTTTGGTCTCTGAGATTTAAAATTGATAGAGGTGGTCCTTGAGATTGTCCACCATCAATCATTTTGATCTTTCTCTGAAAAATCTTCGTTAAATTGAAGAAACCACAAATTCAAGAAGATGGGTTGATTTGACAAAATACCCTCAATTTAATTGAGATTTCTCACGAAATAACCAAAATGATTAACGGTGTACAATCTCAAGGACCGCTTCATCAATTTTAAAATTCAAAACCAATACGAGGAGTTATGACAATCTCATAGATAATTTTGAATAAAAAGCCACCAACTATTTTCTGAAAAAAGAAAAAAGAAAAAAGAAAGATCTGCCCACCATTGAGATCGATTTTGCATTAATTGGTAGATTGGCATGCTGTGTAGCAGATGATTAACGTTGATCAGTATCTCTTAAGATATTGTTAATTAGGTTGGTTGATTTCTTAATCAGGAGTTGGAATCTTGTGAGAGAACTTGCATATGCATATACAGTTGATAGTTTAGTGGGCAAGGAATCCCAAAACCATGCATTTTCAATCTGTGTATTATTATTCAATTGCTACTTGAGTATTTTAGGTGTCCACTCTTTGTCAGTGGGTCAATATTACAAACTGATTGCCCATATATTGATAGTATATTAGTATCACAATATCAAATAGGTAACCTTTTCTTTAATAGTTTTTGTTGCAAAGAATCTTCGGGGAAGTTTTAATCTTGTATGGGAAAAGCTTGCATTATTTATCAGAGTAGCGACTTTCGTACTCTCTTTTTCTTGCAGAAATAATCTTTTTGTTAAGTATAAATTCTACATTGAGAGAGGAGGAATTTTGCATGAACTTATAAGTAAGTTGGGTTATACTCTTCATATTGTTAATTGGTTTTTTGGTGGAAACTGAACTTTCTTCACTTTTTTACTTATTTTGTGGTTCTATGGGTTTTTTTTTTTTTGGAGTAAAAAACACTATATATTCTTTCTCGCCAATTTCTTTTCTTTTTCCATCATTGTATCAATCAATGAAAACACAAAAATGAGGGAAGGAATGCAAAATGGTAAATTTGGAGTTTGAAAGTCATTATCCTTATTTCTCCATCTACAATCTTTCATTTTTAGAGAAATGTTAAGAGGACTCTCTTAAATAACTCTCTATAAACATATCTTACAATTTAACGTTAATTTCCTGTCAACATTAAATATAAACAGTGTGTCAAAATATGAGATGTTAAAGAATCCGTAAAAAGTATCATTTTGATAGAATTCCCTTAGCATTTCTCTTATTTTTATTAGTTATTGAATTGAATAAGTAAAAAGAGAATCAATAAATGAAAACAAGAAGATAAGTAGAAAGAAGAAGACGAGAACGTGAAAATGATTAGCCAATTATTATTATCATCATAGGGAGGCTGCAATTACCAAAACGAAGCAGCACGAAATAAGGGTGCTGCACATGCTAGTGTACCGTGGAAACATTGATGAAAACACCACGGCCGTACAACTTATAGTTGGTGGCTAATCAGATTAGATGACTTAAAAGAATGATTAATTAGAATATCAATTATCGCTAATGACAAAATTTTAGTGAGGTGTAAAGTAAAGTATAAGCATATTGCTTTGAGAGTGAGCCTTATATATACAGACGTAATTATTTTGGCAATCGTATATGATGATATTATTAGGCACGACAAACTTTGTTTTCATGTCATATCTATTATCTTCACCGGTCGTATCATGTCTAATCTATTATCTTGACGAGTTCTTAACATGTGACGTGATAACAATTCAATTAATTAACAGGTCGTGTCTTTTCGTGTCATATCCGTTATCTTTACAGCTCGTGTTGTGTCTAACTCACTATCTTAATGGGTTCTTAATAGGTGATGTGATAACGACCTGATTCGTAAACGGATTGTGTCGTTTTGTATCGGTTTAACGGATCATGCAAGAAATTGGTATCTCTAATATTGAAATTAGACAAACGATAACTCATCGGGTTAGTAACATGTGACTCGAAAATGACCTGACTCGTTAAGAGGTTCTTAACAGGTGACCTGATAACGACTCGACTCGTTAACAAATTGATTCGAAAACTATTATTTTCACATCGATCTGTGTTAGATTAACTTGTTGTGCAAAAAATTATCAAACCTAGATATTATGGCTAGCTAGGGTTTGCATGGGATTTGTATTTATTCGTGGGATATTTACGAATCGGAGGGCTGAGATTCGTCGTGCGTGTATGGACGGTAGTGATGAGTGTAGTACGAGAGAGGACAAGTGGATGTGAAGGGAGGAAGACGGGAGTGAGAGGGAACGTTTGTCACCTAGTTGTATTTTGTGCATTGCATGAACATGGCTGATGGTGGACATCACGTGGAGAACTTCAACTCTCATTTCACGTTAAAACATTTTGTTTCTTCTCATGAACAGTTGATATATGTTCTCAAACTGTCAATTAAATTAATAATTATATATAAACACGTGCATAGAATCACTGACGAAGCAACAATGAAATCACTTAATAACACCTTTTTTAATTTCTTCCATTAATTTGCTAATTTGGCCACGTAATCTTTCATAAAATGATTAAATGCTGAAAAAGATAAAAAATTACTAATCGATATTTGTTTCCTTCATGGTTATGATCATAAATCTTATAACGTCGAGTTTCTGATTCCGTCACTGATGACGTCATTAGGGTTTTTGGGTCATGGTACTCTTCGATGAAGTTTGAAGTTAGTGGCTCTAGTTTATATATTTCTTGGGGTTTGGATAAGCTTGGATTAGCATGTGAAAAGCAGAGATGAGACGTATAATGATGGTTGTTTGGATATGAGACATGATGTGTCTAAATCGATGCCTGATGTTTTGTTGCCAGTAGTCTGATGCTGAGACTTCACCATTGTTGATAACTAAACCTAACACGCTTGATGTTTGCATTACACAATTATCTCGATCTTTTGCTGCAACTTAGAAATTCTGTCGTACGATATAATTATATGAGAAATGTTACGGGAACATTTTCAAAAGCGGAATTCTTTATAAATTCTTTATCACCTCACAGTTTAACGTTAATTTCCATTTTGAGAGTCCATGGAGAGTTCGTCCTAGGTCTTCCCGTTCCTTCATTTGGCTTATGTTCTTTATGTGGCATTCAAACTGATGGCTCTATAAAATTATGTCGATACTTCCACATATTACGGGTCATGTAGGAGGCATCTCTTCTTTTTTTCCCAGGAGATCCTTAAAATTACCACTACTTAGCTTTCAATTCGCCTCTAACCATGAATAGTTGACTAAGCAAGTGACCTTATACGACAGTGGTTGAGAGGTATTGCATCACAACATGGGTTTGAACTTTGTCGGCTCACTAATCTAACATCTAATATAACAAATATATCATTTGACAAAACGAAATCACAATCCCCAAATCTTAATCAGATAATGGGCCGTTAAGGGGGGTCAGTTTTGATTTCTCATCATTTTGAAAGCGCAACCATTTATTGGAGGCCCATTGTGTCTGTCTGTCCAACACCAACAAAAGGAGAAATGTGGACTTCGTTCTCTTTAAAAAAGAAAACAGAAAAATAATTGGCTTCTTCCCTAAGAGGTAAAGACCCAAAAGAGATTCTTTCTTGTCTCAGTTGCAAATTAACATGTGTAGAAAGATTTCATCATGTTTCTAATGAACTGTTTTTGTACATTTGTCGGACCATCGAAGTATATATATGCATGCAAGCAATAACATCTCAAGCAAATTACGCACGGTTAGTTTTTAACCTTTTCACATAATAAAACGTGATTAACTTGAAAGTCTTTCGCAGAGGGACCATGATGTTCTCAGGCCCATCCTGGCATTTTTTTTTTTCATGCAAAAATGTTTAGTGTTATGCTTATGGTATTCAAGGTTTTTCTGTAGGCTTAAGAGTCGCAACCCGACGTTTTAGTTTGATTTCTTTTATCGGGTTTGATTTGAGATTGGTGGTTCCTGTGGAATTCAAACAATCCATTGCTTGTGAACTTTGAGGAGGGAGAGAGGAAGACAGTTAGAGAGGCTTCAAGTTGAGGTTTAGCGAAAATGATGATGAGTATGACACCATAACAAATCCAAACACAGTAACCGATTGCTAACTATAGGGCAGAGTAATTTTTGTAAGATTAGGAAAGCGTTTCATATTGAGACATTTGGGCTCCTTCTAAACTAAAATTATGACTCTGCCATTTATCTTACGCATATGCATATAACTAACTTGTAGATACTGAAGAAATGTTTTCCTATAGGCTATAGTGAAGGAGCTTGTAATCTCATCGAGAACTTCCTTACAACAAGAAACGCCCCTATGGTCGTATCTCAAAACCAATCAGGCATTATTACGTGAAAAAGTTGAAACATATAGCCGTGCGTTATTGCCTTGATATATTAAGAACTCAAGATTTCACCGTTATTATGATTAAGTATATAATTACACATAAATTGCTATACTAATAACATTAAAGCCGGAACACAGCGACGGCAGAACTGCTCTGCGGAAAACATGCTGTTCGAAGCTGTACAAACGTCGAAAAAAATAACTTTCATTCACATTCCGTAAAAACAACATTCTCGCCAACACGAGAAATCGAAAACCGAGTCCACGGGCGGCCGGTTGTAGGATACATTACGCAGAGTCATGGGTACAGAGGTTGTAACCAGATATGAGGGAGCTAAGCGCAAAGGCAACAAAAGCCAGGAAAGCCATGCTAACCGAAGCAGTGGCCATCTCCGTGAACTCATCTTTCCCCCAATTCGATTGCCAGTCGTCGACCCGAGTGGCTGCAGACGATGACGCAGAAATGAGAAGGTATGCCAGCACCTGCAAAGTGAATCAACACCACAAAAGCACAATGCATTACTTATCCGTACACAAATCTTTAGCTTCCCTCGAGTTGAGGCAGTTTAACGGAACTGTAGTCAACTTAAAACAAAGGCCTAACTACAAACACAACAACAAATCAACGATTCAAGTTTTATCCCTAATGCTTACACGGTTACACCCTAAATCTTAAAATGGCATCGCTTCGGTCTGAAGCATAATAAAAAAACAGAAGCCTATTTCGGAAACAACAGACGTTAGGTGATGACCATTACCTTCCGAATCAAAAGTATACAAGCACAATTTTCCCTAAAGAAAATTTATCATATTCCACTCAGTACTAACATATAAGGTAATACATTTAACAATAGAAATGTTAAATAGCGATGAAGACAGATGGGCGGGCTGAGGAACTTGCCTGATCCATGAAAAAATCAAAGTGATGACGGAGATGGTGGCGGATCACGAACTTCCCGGTGACTAGATGGTAGGATAGATTATAGACTTGAAAGGCAGCATATACAAATCCAATTACATTCACAGCTAAGCAATACCTGCAAAGTCAGCACATAATCTTCAATTCATCATAACATTACCTCTAAAAGTAAACAAAAATTCAAGAACCCAATTCACAGTCAATGCAAATGGTGCGCAGTGACGTTCTAAGATTCATACAATCGAGACCCCACTTAGTGGGATAGTGTTGTTGCTAATTTGACTTAATCAGATAATCGAGATTAATAATTTTCTGAAAAAGGAAAAATTAAAATGGAAATTAAATTGAAATTGAGGCGGAGGAGAAACCTGTATTCCTTGTAGCGGTCGAAGGAGTCGCCGCTCCATCCCTGAGTCTTGTCCGCCGCCATAACCGAGAACGAAATCAAGCACAACACCAACTCACTCACCCTAAACCCCAGCGCCGCCGTCTTCATCATCTCCCCCCTCTTCGACCGTCTCAGAATCGAATTCGTCACCCCCTTGGATCTCCCACCGTTGACTCCGCCTTCCTCCCCGCCTCCAACACCGTTAACTCCGGCGGTCGGCCCAACCTTCGACACGGACGGCGCCACCTCCTCCTTCACCGACCGGTTGTACACCACCACCGGCGACAGCGCCTTGGCGTTCTCCGGCGGCTTCTGATGCCGGAGCGGCGGGTACTGGTTGAACTTGTCGACGGCCATGATCGCCTTGGAGTTGTCGACCGGCTTCTCCGGCGAGTTCTCGGGGGACTGGTACGGCGGGCTGTCGGGCGGGTCGAAGGCGTCGGATCGGATCGGGGAGTGGAATCGGAGGGGCGAGTCGTCGGAGGTCAAAGACCAGGACTTCTTCATGTTGGGATTGGATTTCTGGTGGTGGTGGTGGTGGTTGGGCTTCTGAGATTGGGGTTGGGATTCCATTTGGCGCGCATAAAATTTTCTCGGGAGATTTATCGAGTGGGAAAAAGAGTGTTTGGGAACTGAGAAAGTGAGAAGAGAAGTGATGGCGGTGGGACTCCGGAGTCTTTGAGTTGATGTTTTCGCGCTGTGAGGAATTGGCCCACGTGGAAAGCTTTCCTTCCCGCTTTACTACTTACTAAAGCGAGAAGCTGATTGATTCATACGACGTCGTTACCTGCCTCGTTTACAACTGGCAAATGCCACGGCGGAAAGCAAAGTTACCAAACGACGAGTCACGCGAGTTAAGTCAGTTGATCAGTGCACTACTTAAGTTGTCAAAATACCAACGTATTACCACACCAGTTCTTTATCTACTCAAACGTTTAATGTTTATGTAATGTCATTTACTCATTTGACTTACATGATAATGTAATTTTAAGTTTCGAAACGTGCATCAGTTAGTCCTCACTCAAATATAAATCTTGAAAATTTTCACCAAAATCGAATTTCTTTGAGTAATTTGATTGTTATCATGAACATCTTATCGTTTTATTGGCATTGATTTGTTTGCTTATTTATTTAATTACGGTGACATGATTAATTGTTTTTCAACTTCGGTGAATTTTACAAACATGATATTTTCATAAGTGTATGATTATCGTGTTGATTTATATTTGTAACAAAAAATATATCAAAATTATAGCTAAAAACTAAGTGCTAATAGTGGTGGAAGAAAAAGAAAAAGAAAAAGGCAAGAGCTTTAAGAGGCTGAAGAGGAAGACTTGCATGGCAAAGGTAAAAGGCAAGAAAAACAAATAAAATGGTAGAAAATCCAAGCAAGGTAGCTTTTAAGTGTAAAAGCTTTCTTTATGTAAAGTTTTCTTTAATTCACTAGTGCGCTATCTTTCGTCACCTAAAGCCATAAATTCCTTCCCCAACTTTTCCATCTTGCTTCCATCCAAGATTCCTCCTCGGGAATTCAGGATTTTGAGAAATTTTAGTGTTAAAAGTACAAGATTTTCAGAGAGAAACAGAGCGTGAACGGCACAAAAAATTTTCAATTCGCCCACTAAGGGATTTCGTAAAATACTTGGTTGGTTTGTTGTCGTCAGCCAAACTATGTTGCACATATGTCAACATATATCGACATATGTTTTCAGAAAATTTGTTGAGTGATGTTGACGTACTCGTTAAAATATGCATAACAAATATTACATAAAACACTTGATAAGCACAATAGGAAACCATCAAACATTTAGATGATCCCCGAAAGATCGTTTCCTATACTCCGGGTGGTCATGGGACCACCTTGATCCCAATGTACATCCGCCTCAGCCTCATGTAAAATTGTGAAGACAATTCGATAATAAAACACAGTTGTACGAAAAATATTTGATAATACTCTCTTACAAGATAGTCTGACGTGTTATGTTAATCACCGTGAATCAAATCGTCAAACAAAGATCATGGTCAATAGTTAGGCAAAACACTTTTTCGAAGAAATTTTATGCGCAAAACGACCAAGAAAAGCATCTCTTTTAATCACTTCGGTCTGTGTATCATGTTTATTGATCACGTTGGCTTTACGGTTTAAATTAACAAAAAGAAAGCACCACCAAGAAGTTTGCTTTTTTTCCCTTTAAGCAACCACAAGATATTTCTCCATCAAGTTTTGATGAGTTACCATCGTCTAATCCATCAACCAGTCATGATAATAAACCATGTTTGTACGATAAAACATTAACAGTCAACACAGAGAAACCGGGCAGTATCCGGAAATGTTCACGACCTGGAGCATCATCGTAGTTTCAGTACCGGTCGTGTATATATATATATTTGGTCAGCAAAAATGATATAAAGCTCATGGAGTTACATGGGGGTAGCAGATGGAAGTTGAACATGGGAGGAAAACAAAAAACTAGAAACCAATAACTCCAGAGTGCGTACTTAAGTAGGCGGCGCTAACTTCTTTGCTCAGATACGGTACACTTGAAGAACTCTTCTCTGACATCTGTCTGCCATATCGAAGTTGTAAGAACTCGAAAAGATTAGGAATCATTGGTTCATTCTGGTAGTTTCAGGCGGTTGAACAGTACAAGGAAACTTTGCTCGGGGATGATGTAAAGAAAACCAAGATCTGCACTTTTGATGTATGGTCCAATGCCCTGCACACGAAGTTGCAAACATGAAGCAAAAGAAGGAAAATGTTGGAAGATACAACGCCGGTTCTTTGAGAGTTTTCTGGCTAATCAGATTGTATAAAGTAAAGCTAGTAGGTATACTGAACCAGTCTATTCACCTTGTTACTGAGCTGGAGAAGTTCTCCTTCAACCCACTGTGGATTCTGGAACCCAAATTCCGCTATTCTTCCTTGTCCCTTGTAACTTGCTACCTGGATAAATGAACACCTAATCAGCAGCATATATCCAGAGTTTTATTTCGATGCAGCCTAAAAGACATTCTTTAATTCAATCCGTTATGATTATGATGCCAAAAAAGGGTATATGCAACTTTTACTTCACACTATTCCTTGTGTGGGTTGAAATGATATCAAGATAAATCATCGTGTTTCTTCACGAAACATGAGGCACGGGCGCGCAGTTCATGATCCTATAGTATTTATACGGTACTTTAGAAAGGCCCCTAGTAGAAAAAAGGGTATTAACAATTGTACACGCCAGTAAATATTTTTTATTAAGAACAGCAAAAATTTTCTTGATGTTTTATGCAAAACGAGCAGAAAGGGTTTTCTATAACTGTTAGGCATGTGTTCATCTCCTAGTTTCCATGGTACTAAGCAGAACATGCTTCCTTGAGTTTTTGGTCTTAGAACTCTAGAAAGAGAGGAAAAAATAATAACAACGAACCAACACATGCACATACGTAGAGAAACTTCATAGTATTATTACCACTCCTAACTCATCTGGATACAATCCACGGTTAGATTGGCGGTTCCCTTTCCCAATTTTAGCACGAAATGTCACCTGGATATGCAAAAATTGGTTTAGTACAACATCACCTAGCATGTAGTAGCATAACTATCACGAAATTTAGAAAGCTATAAACCTGGCCAGCAGGAACATTCAGGTCCCCAGTTAGCTTAACTGCTTCAACATATTCGAAGAACTCCACATCTGAAGAGTCATTGCCTTCTGAACTATTCCAGTGTCCATACTTACGCCTAAGTTGCACTACCTCATTGCCATAAGGGCCAAATGCACCAACATACAGGCCTATACTTCAAACAGAAGAATTCCTCAGAAGATTGTCCCTTTTCTAAGTAAAAAGTAAAAAGTGGAGGATAAGAAAACTGACCTTCAAATGGATCCAGATCTCCTCTTGAGGTGTTGAGCCGACTAAAATTTGTATACTCAGATAATCTATTCCGCTTCTGAGCTTGACTAACAGCAAACTTGACTATTTCACGCATATTCCTTGTCATCTGTTTATAATTTAACGAAAAACTACGAACTATAAGCAAATCACATCACTGTCAGGAAAAACATAACATTGCGCCCAGAGGTAATGAGGATTTTGATAGATTTTTCAACCGTAACTCGTTAGTATCAGTCTGTTCTAAAATATAGATCTAAAACTGCAAAACCTTCCACCAGTTATGTGAATTAAAATATAAACCCAAACCTTTGGTATTGCCCACATAATTTATAGCTGAGCCAAACTCTGGCCATGATGCAAGTTTCCTAGAATTACTACATCTATAAAAGTAAAACAATAGAAAAAGGAAAGAGGTAGACATCAAGAAAGGGTAGTCCTTGGAAATTCCTGATGCTAAAACCCTCATATGCCATGAGTCTACCACGTACAACAAAAGTATCCAACTCAAATGATTTTATTCATGAACCCAATTACTTTTATACCAATTGAAAGAGTTAGGTTTTTACTGTGTAAATTCCACATTCAACTGACCTTTGAAGAAAGCTTGTCAGAATTAAAAAATGCCTTGGCAACCTCAGAAGGCATGAGCTCAGCGGCACTTTTAGGTGCTAGAGCTGCCACCTTGAACTTAGATGCTTTACTTTCTCTAGTGTCATGATCTAGGCTTCTCCCCGGAATATGCAGCACAAAAGAATCTTTCTCCACATCTTTGATTTCAGCAGGCCGACGCACATACTCATCCTTGCTAGGAGCATCCTCATTATTATGTACAACCCCACCAATAAAAAGTTTCATATCCAAATCCTTTTCATCTTCTATATTATCGCTACCTTCTCCTAGAGTGACCTCATCAGGCTGAATTTCATCCAAATTATCCACTTCGTCTTCAGAATTCTCATCAGAATCTGACGAGACACTATTTTCTTGCATCAATTGGTTTGCAGAATTGTCATCCTCTATCACTTCCTTAGCAATATCAACATCCATGACTTTAACTTTCAGTCCAGGAATTTTTTTCTTAAGAAAATTTAACACACTTTTTATTCCCTCCTCAGTTGCTCCCTCAATATTAAGGCCCTTTTCCTCGCTGCTCTCGGCCTTACCTTCATTTTTCTGAACATCTACTAGGGTTGCATTCTCAAGTTCGGAAGTGGATGAGCCTTTTTCAGGTTTGGACGGTGTAACACCGGAGTTTGTTGAACTGCCTTTGGGTTGGTGTAAGTACACTACCTGCTAACAGATATGATATCAGAAGACCAGAGAGAGAGAGAGAGAGAGAGAGAGAATTTCACACAAACTGCATTAGACAGGTGAAAGATAGTTCAATTGAAAGATCTGGTCCACAAGGCAATCTTCAACACTTACAAAATTTAAATGGCAAGCACATATATCAGATGAAATATTATTATTATTATCTACTACACGCATCTGTACTCACCTGCATAACGTATGTCCCATCAGCATTTTTTACCACAAAAATTTCAAATAGGGGACTTCCTGGCGATGATGCAACCAACTGTCTGCAACAAATAACAAATCAGTAATTTTCTCCAGTGGATAAAAAATAATTCAAAACCTAAACGATCTTACCTTGGACTGTAACTCCTCCCAACGAATCTGCCCACGCCAGGAGTTATTCGTATTAGTCTTCCAAAAGGATCATCTGAATCTTTTGGGTAGCCAACCCACCAACCTACCTGTAGATACAGACAGAATCATTGAGGACACAGCGAAAATCAAACACAAAGCAGGCCTAATTAATAAGGCCTAACAATCAAATTCATAAAAACATCTTAAAGATGCCAGGAAATGGAAAACTAGGCACTTTTCTGACTCGTGTTTCATGAACCATAGGCAATATAATCTATCAAGTTATCCATTTACAATCAAGGACTCATATAATTAATGATCCATAAATCAGAAATGATAAAAATAGCTTCGTATGAACCTGACTCAACCAAGCAGGAGACGAGCATTAGAATTACATCAGCTTCAGAAACCATCTTAACCACATGCTAATCCATTATATTACAGTAAATGTATTGAAAAGGCTAATTAAACACTATATATAAGTGACATTCATGTCATAAATAATAAACATAAAAGAACTCAATGTCATTGCAGTCCAAATAATCTCCAGACACAAAAGTCTATATTTGTGTGGACCAAATGGAAATGGAATGTTTCGACTTTTGCAGAGAAAAGCACAAGGATTTATTATGTGTAGGGCAAAACAGGGAAGGCAGTGGCATATGGGTGATGGTACAGACACAAAGGTCTAATATATGATAAATGTAATCACTTCCTCCCCTCGACACTTTGGAGGCAGACAAAAACTGCCATGACTGCCATTAAAATTCACGTACAAAGGAAACCATAATATATCTAATTTTTGAACGGAATCTACTTGTAGTATTTTAAATAAGTGTGAAAAGAAAAGAAGAGTAAAGGCTGCCTGTTCCAGCCAAGAAAGATAACTGAACTGACAAGACGTGTTGTTCAAAATTGGAAGAATCTGAATATATAAGCCAGTAGCATGTGGGAAGCTTACCAGTCCACTTCCTGTGTATCTACACAATCTCGAAGCATCATGGTAACGCTCTTCCTCAATTGCATTCTGCAAACATACAACAGACCAGGTAAAGAAACAAATTTTGATGTGAGCAAGTACACAATTATAATAGTATAAATGCTCAACTAACCTTCAATTGAGACATGATCTCAGCAACAGTGTCCTTTGATGTAGCTTCTGAAATAGACATTTTCAGTTTTGCAGCTTCCTCGAAATCTTCCTTCTCAATTGCATCTTCAAGTTGAAACTGCACGTAGCAGCAAGTTTTTAAAAATAATCAAAAGCACTTGTAATTCTTTATTTTTGGTTAAGTTCAGTTGAGCTTTATTCTTTATACGTAAACAAGCTCTACCAACGGTGAACCGCCCTAAGCAACCAAGACTACAGAAAAAACATCAATCTTTGCACTGGTACATGGTTCAGGTGAAAGTAAGAAAAGGCCGATGGAGCAACTTTTGTAACGTCAATGTTCACCGCCATTTGACAATTTAGCAACTTTAAGAATTCCGTGAAACTTGCTAATCTGCCGGAGAACAGGGTAACAAACTCTCCACATCTTCCCAAATTTCTCATGCAATTCAAACAACGCAAAGTAAATCTCAAAATTCTCAAGAACCAAGTTCCAAAATTTGTTTTACGTTTCACAGCTGTCTTAGAAAAGGATCCGAACGGGTGAATTATGTTCTATAAAACCATGAGAAATGGTAGCAAAAGGCGCACGGATTTAAACAATTATAAAGCTCAAAGTAAAGAAAAATTGATGAGCTTGATCAATGATATATAATCATCACAAGCTACGAACTTCAAGTAAATTCAGCTTACTTTTGGATTTATGAACTTTGCAGTTCAACTAATAGAGTACTAAACATAAAGTAATATTTCAGCAACTGGGAACTCTACATTGAAAACCAACAGAATTCCAAATAAATTCAGAAGTAACCATCCAAATAAGTTAAGCGATATAACCAAAAGCACTTATGAGCAAAAGTGCTTTGTACAAATCATATCATTTCCCAAAAACTAACGCTCTCTTACTGAATCAAGTAGACAAAAATTTAAACTTTGTTAAAATTCAGCAACTGGGCAAAAAAAAAAAAAAAAAAAAAAAACAGAAAACCCACATACCTTGAGAACAGAGGCGAAGCTCTCAGCCTGTTCGACCTCGGAGAAATGGCGACTCCACCGATTCCAATCCCATTCCAACGACGACCCGACACAGTCCTCACCGTAACTGTCGCTCTCACTGCACCGGCAGCACAAATTCGAGCTCTTCCGACTCCTGCTACTACTCGAAGACGAAGAAGATGAAAGCTTGGCCTGAGCGGAGCAGCCCCAACTGAGAACAACGCTCAGATTTTTATTGGAAGTGTTGAATTTGGACTTGGTGTTGGGCAAGAAGCCGGAGCAGCAATTGGGTCCGAATTGGGGCAGTGGGATTGCTTGTCCCACGCCCCATCCATTGGCCACCGCCATCTCTCTCTCTCTCTCTCTCCTCCCCGCAATTCTCTGTGTGTTGGATTTTGTGGGGAATTTGAGAAATCAATATTATACGAGTTTTCTGTGTTTATAATGGTGCAATTGGAGACGAAAATGAAGACTGGAAGAGATATGGATAGAATCGCCCGGGTAACTGTTACAATTCCAGGTAAACCAGGCCCACTAGATTTATGGGTCCCCTTTTTTTCTTGGGGGCAGATTGTCTACCCTCTCATTTTCCGTACCTTCTTGTTTTGTGTGGTCATGGTTAAGCCACGTCAATATTTTATATTACTATTTCTTTTTATCTTATTATCTCTATAAAATATTGACGTGATTTAACCGTGACCACACAAAACAGAAGGCACGAGAGGACACGGAAAGTGGGATGGCAGAGAATCTGCCTCCTTTTTTCTTACATTATCAAATTACTAATCGCACATTGTTTGGCTGTTCAAGGATAATCATAAATTCGCACGTAAAATTTTTTGTGTTTGAATTATAAAGTTTTGTGTTTATGATCATAATCGTTCGTAGTCTGAATCATTCTGTAAAGATCATTTCTGCAAAAAAATAAAAAAATTAAAAAAAAATTGAATTAAAAAGTAAAGCCGTTTAGTTAATTTGTTGTAGTAAATACATAGATGGTTCGTAATGCTTTTACAATTTCCGTTCATCTGTTTTTATACAATTTGATTTATAATATTGCGGTTGGTAAAACTAAACAACCTTAGTTTTAATTATTTTTTACAGATGAGATATTTAAAAAATGATTTATAATATGAACGATTATGATTATAAACACAAAATTCTATGAATCGGTAACAAACAATTTTGAGTAGCACACCCTGCTCATTTTTTAAGAAGCAATATTGTATTATTCTTACAAATTGGATTAAATTTTCATTTAGATTTGGTGGCATTTGATTCTCCCAATTCGATTCAACTTCAATTCCTTTCCGGTAGGTACTTGACACGTATAAACATTACTTGCAATTTGATGTGCGTGCATTAGTATAATTTTAATAAGTTATTTACTTATATGTGTTATTTGTGTGATTGTTGATAAACAGTAAGAAGTCGAACAATATCAATAGCGACTCTTACTTTAGTTTTACGTACAAAGCGAGAGTGATGTATAAACTTGTCACTTTTGTTGGAAAATTCAAACTTAAGTGTAAAAAGACGAGTATGTAACCCTAACCAAAGTATGAGTAGTTTGTAAAAAGAAAATTTTAACGTGCGAAATACACGATCTGATACATTCAGTATCATAATACAAGTAGTTGAATATTTAAAAATATTCAACCGCTTGTACCAAACAGCATTTTCGAAATATTAAAAAAGTTCTCGTTTGTAAGGCTGTTATTAGATAAGTTAAACACGCGTAATAGCGATGTGTTATATGAGATAAGAATATGCCTCTTTCAACCAAATACGCAGCTAAAGGATGAGTGTTTGACCCACCACTTCTCTCCGCTGGTCGCCATGTGTCACAGCTGCGAGCAAGAAAAATACAGCATGACAGTTTGGCAAAATTGGATGAGTGGACTACAAAATTAGGCTTACACGCTTTCGATAAAGGCTGTAAATATGCCACGTGTATTGCCACTTGGCTTGAAACCTGCCTGGAGACGAGTCAAGATTCTCGCCGGATCGTCTTTGTAAAGATCTCGAAGATGACTCGTGTCCGTTCATTGTGTGATCATAAATCATTTTAAATATTTTTATTTAAAAATAAACATAAACAATACTTGATAAAAACTGACAGCACGATATACGATGAATGAACACAATTCACAGATCCTCACCAAAAGAGGATTCGGAGAGGATCCTGTTGGCCCGGGGACCAAGGACCCCACTTCATATTAATCGATCTTTCAGATGAGAAGGAAAATACTTGTATGAAACGGAGAATGCTAAGGTTGCAGTGTCGTAAATCTATCATGCGTTGCCGTGAGTTTGAACTTTCTTACATTAGGATAGCATGACTGGTTTTGGACACCGGCAACTTAGCGTCCTTGTTTCATGTAAGTCCTCAAGACGAGGTACATTTCATGAGACACAATCTGATCTGCATTGGTTAACCGATAACATCCAGTTCTCATATCCATGAATATGTATATCCATCGTTACAAGCAGAAACCATGGCAAAAAGCTTTAGACTTTTAGTAAGCAACCTTCCCTCAGCATGTGGGTTAGAAAATTGAGTTAGATTTTGGGTAATGTAAACCAGGAAAAGAGTCTATTGTTGTTGCCGGGAGGCGGATTCGACCACGACGATATGTTCAATGGAAGGTCCCGCCCCTGGGCTTGAAAGATCCCGAGTAGATGAATGAGCAATACCCCCTTCCTCAGCAGTTTCCAAAGCAGCGTCTGCCTCATTGCCTGCACCTGCATTTTCTGTACAGACTGGACGGAATGCTCCCTGCAACCTCAACAAATGCCTCTGACTATCAGGTTGGGTTCTCACATACCGGTTGGTTGTCAACACACTGAGAGGTGAACGCTCAGAGTCAGGACGGAGATTGGATATAGCACTGAGGTCGAGATTTGGGAAGACTGAGCAACGGCATCTGGGACATTTCACATTCAGTCGAAGCCACTCATCGATGCATTCTACATGGAAATTGTGAGCACAAGGCAGGCCGCGAACCTGCAGAACTTCCAGTAAGAATCTGTTGTTGAACTTTGCAATAACTGAGCCACTATCAGAAGGTCAAATATGTACGGGAATTGTTCGTGAAATTGGGAGAGGTAGTCTGCATTGCTTACTGATAAGCTATGCACTTGATTCCTATTTTCTTAAAATTCTCTCAACATTTTACAGAGAGCAACCAAAGGGGTCCATTGATCCAATTCTTAGATAAACAATTTGGTAGTGAAACATAGATTTGACTTCTACCCGAGAGACATGGAATAATTAAGATCGATGCGGTGTTTAAAGTAGGATAGATATTCATAGAAAATTTACCTCATTGCCTACATGAAACTCTTCCAAGCAGATTGGACATTCGCTGCAATCAGTTGGAACAGCCTTCAGTCTGAACTTTGGAAGCTCCTGAATGAGTGCTTCAACTGCTTCTCTCTGTAACACCCACACAAGAACGTCAACCATCAGAACCCAACAATTAAAATATCAATAGTGAATTGATAGACAACAAATAATTCACAAGGAAAAAGGAACTGTCATTGAAGAGGTTAATATTTCTTTTTAGTATATCCTCTTGTTACCAGTTAAGCACAGCAATTAATACACTTTCATACTAGGCCTCTAAAGTTCAAGCATGCTTGAGAGAGTCTGAGACAGAGTAATGAGTTCACATACATGCAGGCATATGTGTCCGCAACACCCAGTAGAATCCGTTATCTCTATTTTCTAGGCATTGCTTTTGCCAATGCTAGTTTAAGCATAGAATTCATCCAAAATGATACTGCTTAAATAGCTTGAGTAACTACTATCATGATTTCAAACATCTGCATAGAACTTTATTATTATTATACATAATATGTTGTAAAAAGAGTGAGATAACAATTAGACACAAAACTGAACAAATGTGTGAATCTAAGGGCAAGCAGTTCCCTCAACAGGAGAATTTTGGGGTGGATGTTACCTGTGCTTGAGTCAAGTAAAGTCCAGGTTGGAATGCAGCAGCATCTTGGGCCATCCCTCTTGTTTCTTGACCGGCAGCTTCAAATGCCCAATCTGGCACCCGAATCATATCAACCAAAACCTTAACAATGAGGAGAAATCATTACTATGAATGATAGGAAGAACTGGATCAACACAGAAGAAAAGAACTTTGAACACTTAATTGGCAATCAACAGAAAGTGGGCGTGTTACATAGTCAAAACAGCATTATCATATAATGTCTATCTGGTACAATAGCAATACTGGCATGCGCTAAAATGAGGAATAAAAACACTACGGGTCACCAATGAGAGGCTTAATAGTGTGCAACCATAGCAATCATATTATATTTGTACTACTACAAGTTAATATACGTTAATAAATATTACAATAAAGGACACTTTCATAATGGGAAAACAAAAAAAGACGTTTCAGTGTTTACCCCATATTCTGACACAGGAATCCCTTGCTGAGCTCGCAGTAAGTGTGCCTCCCTTCGTGTCAACCACTGAAAAAAAGGGGTTTGAAAATTAGGATAAGAACATCAAACTTCGAAATAAAATGTCCTGGTTGAATCTAGAAAATGGACAAAGCGCCACTAACCTTCCCAATTGACATGCAAGCAATGCAAAGTAGAGCACTGTAGCTAAAAAGTAACCAAATGAGAAAACCCCACTTCTGACCACTTTCAGGCAACTGCAAGCATTAAAATGCATTAGCACCGCCACTAAGATTGTTTAAACTTTAAAACACCACTGTTCTGCCAATGAACTAAGAAATATAACTTACACAGTCCTTCGATTTGTGAAACCACAGTGTACCAAGCAGTGTCCAAGTCCAAAGAAATGGATAAAGCAGCAGAGAAAGAATTGAAAGGACCACTACTCTTCCGCAGAAACGAGCATATCTTTGCTGCCACCCAAAATCCCTAAAACCACAACCATTCGAAGGGAAACGACAAGGGTTTATGAACCATTCAACTACAAATTGAACAAACTATGTAGCAGAGAAAGATTAACTAAAGAAATGGCCTTACAAACCCATTCCAGAGGCAAGCCCATTATCCACAAACATCAACATCCGAAAAACAAACACAGTAGTGTAATCAACCTGAGATTAAAGGCAAACATATTTCAAAATAATCCCATATCAAAATTGCTTGGAATTCAGAGAATTTATATAAATATCTATAAACCTACCACGATCCATATGTGCAACGGGTATGCACAAGTATGGTACCGCTTCCAATTAATTCCAACAATCACTCTGTCACCATACCCGTTAAAGAAACGAACAATTGGGAAAATTGGGATTCCAGCAAGAAAATAAAAACCCTAATTTACAAGAAATTAAAGGATACACGCTCGTCGCGAGCATCGACAAGAAGAACCCATCGTACCTACAAATGCAAAATCGTGGAAAATTCGACATCAAAATCCCTAAAACCCACACACAGAAATCGAGAGGCGGATTGAAAGAAAAGAAAGAAAGATGACTTACCACTTGAAATCGACGCCTCGGATGGCCATGACGGACGGCGAGCTGTGCAGAAGAACCCTACGCAGAAGACGACGGCGAATTCCAAGACCCTACGATGCTCATTTGAAGAGATAAATTCTTGCAATCTCTCGTACGCAGAGATTGAGAGGAGGGAGATTCCGGAGAGAACAAAGCTGGCGAGCAAGAAAGAGACTGATGAGAGGGAGAGAGACAGACAGACAGAGAGAGAAGGAGAGAGAGTAAGAGACTGACAAGGACTTACTGTGAACTTTTGCTGACTGGCAATCTCCCTTCTTCCCAATTACTTGACGGCGTTATGACGGGCGTGAGTTTACTACCGTTTACTTTTTGTTAATTTTAATTTATTTCTTTTATTATTTTTAGTCTTTTTCCATGCGCAATGTATTTTTTAACACCGACGCTATGTGCGATTTGAAAAAAAAAAAAAAAAAAAAAATTAAGGAGAGGAGAATCGGACCAATGACTTCGAATGTTACTATGCAGAAGTGAATATTCTTAACCAAATAAGATACAAGTTTCTTTCAAATGCTGTAAAGTTCAAGCTATTAAATTGAATAAACCCTTTTGTTTTCTAGTTGTTGCCATGTTCATCCTTATTTTATTAAAGATTTGTTGTCTTTGAACATAACACAACATAACATTGAGTAAAAAATACTCCAATGTGGGGGCAAATCTTGAAGGATCAGTCCACCGACCGACCACTCACATTCTACAACTATCGTGCAAGATTTATCCCGTATTGGATAAAATAGCACGTTTTAGTATCTTGTGTTTGTAAAGATGATTATGTTAGTTACAATTTGGTGGCCTTAGGCACTTGTATACAGCTGACGCAGGTTGCTTGTAAGTGGGGACACTATTGGTATCAACAAATCTGACTTCTGGTGCAAAAGAAAGTTCCCTGTGCCTGAAACTCAAAAGAATTACCAACACCTTAGCGCTTACAATGCTTCCTTCGATACGATAATCGAGTCCAATTATACCAGCTTGCAGGACTGTCAAATTGTCCAGCGTGGTGAGACAATGATCAGAGTGTATTCAGAGTACTAAGTTTTGAGTATGGATATGAGTTGTATCACCCGAACGAACACGTCTGAGACGCTTTCGTTTGGAGAAAGAGTATCTGATGCATATACCTGATGTGCATTAGCAGAAGACATGATCATACTTTGCTACTTGGTGGAAAAGAAAACAAATCTTGATGACTTAAAGATATGGTTGTAAATTGGAAATGTTTACTTCTGAAACAGCTTCCAGGTTCTTTCCTTCATGAGCTCCCAATCCACGGGCGTCGAGAAAGCTATACTCTGGGACGATATAACTGCATACAAAAATACATGATGATTGCAGCAAGCTAACATCTTTGGACAGGTTTATGAAGGTATACTTAATCAGTAGGTTTGGCAAATGGCTGTATAATTCTGAATTGGCTTTGAAAATTCGACAATCATGGTACTAATTCGGGTTAAAATGCTTAGAGAGAATGAGTTTGATTGGGAAGGCCTCATCCTGATAGCTCAATAAGAAAAGGAAACAATGCAACTGGCATAAGCGCTTTTACTAGAATTAACAACTAGTCGAAAACTTTATTAAAAATCCCAAGTGTTTTCTGAAGTAGCACCTCACAAAGCCCTTTTGTTTTATTCTACCAAACATGTTCATAAGCACTTTTGGTTGCCAAAAAGCGGTTTTATACAGCATTCAAGTAAATTTAGTACTGCCACATGAAGCACTAGATTTCGCAGTTATTAATACTAACTTGCACACCTTCGACTGAACCCATTAGCGATGATCTCTGCCGCCGGGTAAGCTCTCTGAGTGATAGAAGGCCATATCCAACAGTTCTTGTCACAGGCCCCCATTTCATTCAAATCGAAAGCCGACCTCACTGCCTGCTTCTTCCCCTTCTCCGACAACCCGTTATCCACAGAAGTTTTTGCAACCGGGTTCTTGTTGATTACTCCTATGCTCTCATACTCAAACTCCCATGCCCTCACCAGAAAATACCTTCCGGTTTCATACACACAAAAAACAAGAGTAAAAAGCAATCAACGAACAAATAACTCAATAGTACCATGGCTATATATTAGCATCACGGGATATGTTTTTCGCACACCCTATTGCTTCTCATGCGCTTTCTCTTTATTATCAAGCCTTAATTATTTAATAAATAAAAAGAGAAACAAATGAACAAGTGCAAAAAGAGAAAACGGAAGCATGAAAATCACTACCCTTAGCATCATGTACGATGCATCACTAGTAAGGCTAAAATGGGGTCAAAGTTTTCAGCTTTTTAGAAACAAATAGCAATACAACCCACAGTACTTGTTTTCCATCAACTTTTTGAATTTTCTCAGAAACCGAACAGCAATTCAAGTACAAACAAAACATGGGTTGCTGAATACTGGTTGGTGAGCCGAACTGGGGGCATCTGGAAGAGGCCGCGAGCAAAGGCTGCTTCTTGTGCTGACATGGGGCTGAGAAAATTGTGTGCAAAAGGGGTTGCGGCCATGGATACGGTGAGGGCGGCGAGGAGGCTGCAGCGGCTGATGGGTGGAATCATTTGATGGGTTTTGAGTTGTTGACGATGGATTTTGAGGAGTAGGAGGAGGGCGGGGGTTAATGGAGGAAGATGTTGCTAGCATTTTTGGCGGGTATATTGGGGGCGGACCAAAGTGAGTCTCAACTAAATTAACAGCCACTTCTGTTCCGAGAGATTTTTCAGTATGATTGGAATCGGAATGGTATACCACTTGTTATTATATAAATAGTGGAATATGTGTGTTAAAAAATTAATAAGTTAAAAAATAAAATTTTTCATCACTTACGTAAAACATGTGATATACCATCATTCTTCCCATCGTAATGAAAATTTTCTCTTTTGCTCTATTTCTCTGACAGTTTTCACTTCGTCCAACCAAATCCAAGCCCATATGCGCGACCAATTGGATCTGGTACGACATGTAGTTTACATCCAAGCCCAATATTTTGTCAGCACCAAGCCTTAAAAACCCAGGTCCTAAACATCCAAGTCTCCAGCTCAGCCCACTACTGCCTTTGTCTCCCTCGAACATGTAGATCTATGCGATATTGTACATAAGTCGTTAACACGATACGAAATTGCATGAACTCTTTGGTGTATAAGTCAGGATTTATCAAGTCTTATTGATAACGTTTGGACCTGTTAATCTAAAGGTTCGTGTCATGTTAATCTGTGACATCTGTTTCCATTTGTTCGGATTTAAAGTCTTTTTAATCAAAAGATACAAATGTTATTAACTAACTTGTGAAAGTACACCAAACATGTGTACAAGACGATGGCAAATAAAAACAACAAATTCACAAGGGAAAAATTAACATAAACAAAAATTGCATTAACAATTATAAAACCTACATGACAATAATCAAGTTTAATCTCTTATCAGCGTACACAACTTAAAACATCCTAATTAAAACCTAAAAACCACCACCACATGAATGAGCGCCGCTAGCAAACCAAGTGCATCTAGTCAACATTTTTCCATCTAATGATAGAAGCCAAAGAGAAACTACACACAAAATAAGTGTAGAATATTTGAACTCCTAGCAAACAAAGTGCATCTAGTCAACATTTTCCCATCAAACTCGACAACAACAACTAAGCTTTATCCTACTAAGTGAAGTGTATATGAATTCTAAAATATCATTGCGAACAATTTTGCGCCAAATCTTCTGTTAGCTCGAACTTCGTAATAAAAGAAAACTTTCATTCTCTAATTATAAAAACACAGATTGAATGTACTAAAAAAGTGGCTACTTGTTGCTTACAACTTTTTAGAAATGATCTCATAGAAATTGCCAAGTGAATAACCCCTTTGTTTATAACAAAAAACAAAGTACTGGCCTCTTAATCCAACAAGAAAAATAATAAGAATTTGTAGCTGCAGCTTCTAATTAACTAGATATATTTGTTGGCTATTGATGTTTTATATATACATAGTGCCAGCAAATGAGTTCCTAGATATCTGGGACTAGGAACTGAAATGCACGCTGCACAAAATTAGTGGGGCTACAGAGGCCAAAAATATGAAGCATCTTTGCCTTGGTAGTATTATAAACTCGAAGCTCTGGGATTTTACCAAACCCATACTTAAACATTATCTAGTTCAGCTAGCTCCAGGCTGCAGCTATCCTTTCGATGTTTGAGTCCCTCTCCCTTTGAATATGGTTATATAAATCTCACTCCTGTTTTCCATAGCTGAGATCTGTCGAGCGTGAAGACAAAATGATAAGAAATTTTTTATTGTGACCGAAATATAAGTGGTACATCATGTATTTTTTGAGTGGTGAGAATTTTTATTTTTTAAATTATTAAATTTTTAACACAAATATTCCACTAATTGTATAGTAACACATGATGTACCACTCTGTATTTCGATCACAAAATCTCACTACAATGATATGGTTATCTGAAACGAGCCAGTTGCTCCTGTCCACATGCACAAGATTAAATGTATATGCTCTTGCTTTCCTAAAACTCTATATGAACTAGGCTACACCTTTTTCCAGGTTTCACTCTTCAATTTAGGAAAACATGAAAGGGAGAGTGTTTTTAGATAGGATGGTGATGTTCACACATTTATTTATATTTTTTACATATTTTTTTTATTTTTTGACAGTTCGATTAAATGAATAAAAATTAACAATAACATTTTAGAAATAAAAAAAATATGTAAATAACACTACGTAATCTTCAAATATTACTATTTGAATGAAAAATAGTCTTATCGATTTCAACTCAAAAGTTGTTAATAGTGTCTTATTTTATTGATAGCAAATAGTCTCAAATAAAATAATCAATATGTTGTTGTTATACTGGTGGTGATATAAAAAGTGACTGTCGTCGTCTCTTTTTTCACTTAGCGCTCTTTCATTTTTTTTTTCTTTCTAATATTTTGATTAATAAAGCTCGAAAAGCACATCAAAGTCATACACAAGACAAATATTTTAACATGACTGCAAAATTAATAACCTCAAAAGACTAAACTAATTCGTACAACACCAGCACAAGCAACTAAAAAATTCACTACACCAAAATTTAGCACAACTCATATTCAAACCAACACAGCCCAAAACAACCAAAACACTAAATTGAATCATAGCCCTAAACTATAACTATCACCATGAATCAAAAGTACACCACCATAGATTCCACCGGATCTAAGGCAGTGTTTAAAATACCAATATAGGTTGAAATAGTGATATGCAAATTTTTAGAATTATCAATGGATATATCGAATCAGTTGCCTTTAACGAAAATACTGGAAATTTGTAATGAGTATATCAATTCATTCAGATTTAGACGAAATTAGAGAAAAATTTCTCAAAAAAATTTAGAAGTTTGGAATCCGCAATGGGTTCAGGCAAAATTTTGTGTAGTGAATCGGTAAATATCATCGATATTCATTGCTATATCTCGCTGATATAGGGTGAAATTTGCATTTCACCCAATTTTCAATTTCCATATAACGATCCTTGACTTTCAGATATTTAATTCGACGAAAATATCGACAATTTTGTTGATATTTTAAACACTGGATCTAGGCAAGAAGAACTTGTTGAATAATGAAGGATATGAAGAAGATCAATCTCCAATGATTTAGCTACGCATAATAGTAGATAAGAGTCACTAATAGAAGAACAATTAATTACATGGCACAGGTACACCATTATGGCGTCCCATGCTAATGAAATAAAGACATGTGTAAGTTGTTAACTTTAATTTGTCCAGTATGTGTTTCATTTTGCATGGAATGTTACATGACGATATACTTGTGTCATATAAGTGCGTCCTCCGCTAATAGCAGCTAAGAGTCATCATCAAACAAGGTTGGCCAAAATCACAAAGGCAAATCATAATGAAGTCCTTCAACTTTGAGGTGGAAATTTAGAGAAAGCGTTTTTGGAGAATGATGAAAATGAGGGATGAGCAGGGAGGTGACCCATTTTTTTTTTTTTTAGGTCAGAACAAAAAAGAAGTGATTGTGAATTGAAAACTGGCAAAGACTCAGATCAAGTCCCACGAGAGACTAGTTATTATTACGAAAAATATGAACAAGAACAATGAGGGGTTTTCTCCTCCCCTCTTCCTCTTGAATTTTTCTTCTCTTTTTTCATTCAATTTTATTTTTCTAACATTAATAAAGCAATAGACAAAAATAAAGAAAGTGAGTACGAAAAATGAGAAATTGGGAATCACTCCCCTAGTGATATTTGAGAACTGTTCCCAAAAGAAAAACCAACACTTCTACTTCATATGTGCTTGTACTTTTCCATATAATATGCATATTCAAAATTTCAAATTAGTAATGTCACATCTACCGTTTCTTTATCTGCACTTTTATCTGCAGAGTGCAGACTTATACATTGCTGGATATGTGTCCAGTTCTATATGCATAAGTGCTTTTGTAATAAAGCAAACGTTTGCCCACAGCAAAGCATATAGCACTCAGAAAAAGCAAGCCACTGTAGTACCTCTTCAGCTATATATATTCACTGAAAAACCCTATTTCTCACTCCTCTCTCTCTCTCTCTTCCCTCCACAACATGAAAATCTTCCTCTTGTTCTTCTTCTTATTATTCTCACTTTTCCAGGTAAGAAAACTATTGCAAACAACAAAATTCATATTTCACTTACAGTTTATAATGCATGTTTATGCAAATTTATATACACACATACATACATCTTCCAAACCCTAATTAACTTCATTTTTGCATGTGCATGCAGGTCTCAGTAGCGAGCACAAGCAATGAAACTACAAACAACCCTTTCACTCCCAAAGCCTCACTCAACCGCTATTGGGACACCCACATTTCCAACAACCTCCCAAAACCCGCCTTCCTCTTCGCCAAAGCGTCCAAACTCGACCCAGTCAACTCAACGATTCTCACCAAACTCGCCGCTCAAAACTCACTCTCCTCCCATTTCACCTCCTTCTGCTCCCTAGCCAACCTCTGCTGCTCCTTCGACTCCTCCGCCGAAACCCACCAACAAGACATCGCCACCCGCCACCCCAAAAACGCAAACTTTGCCGTCTACGCCGACAAGAACTTCGCCAACTACGGCTCCTCCAAACTCGGTGGAGTCGACTCGTTCAAGAACTACTCGGAAGAGTTGAACTCGCCCCGAGACTCGTTCAAGAAGTACAGCAAGGGCTCCCATTCGCACTCGGAGAAGTTCACGTCCTACGCCCACGATGCCAACGTCGCAAACGCCAACTTCACCAGCTACGGCGCCGACTCGGGCGGTGGTTCGGGCGAGTTCACCAGCTACGACGACCGAGTCAACGTCCCTAGGCTCGGATTCACATCCTACGACTCGAACACCAACGGCCACCGTCTCTCCTTCACCGGGTACGGCCACGACACCAACTCGGGCTCTGAATCTTTCGCCAGCTACGGAAAATCCGGCAATTCTAACCCGAACCAGTTCACCAGGTACGCCGAAGGTTCGAACATAATAGGGTCGGGTTTCACGGGTTACGGAGAGTCCGGGAACGGCCAAAACGATTCGTTTACAGGGTATGGGACAATCCGGTAATAACCCACATAACAATTTCAAGAGCTACGGCGCCGGCGGGAATGCCGGGCTCGATGGGTTCTCCAATTACCGGAGCTCGGCGAATGTCGGCGACGATACGTTTCAGTCGTATGCGAGAAAATCGAATTCCGGGAAAGTGAGATTCTCGAATTACGGGAAATCGTTCAACCCTGGAAACGACTCATTCAAAGAGTACGGAGCCGGGTCGAAGGGTCGGACCACCGTCGGGTTCAAAACGTACGGTTTGGGTCGGAGTTTCAAAGAGTATGCCAAAAACGGCGTCACTTTTGCAGAGTATAACGATTTGAGCAGGGTGGGAGCCCATTCGACTGAAAAGGAGTCTAGTGGCAGTGCTGTAAATAAGTGGGTTGAGCCCGGCAAGTTCTTCAGGGAATCAATGTTGAGGCAGGGGAATGTAATGGTGATGCCCGACATTAGGGACCGAATGCCGGAAAGGTCGTTTTTACCCCGGGGGATTTTGTCGAAATTACCTTTTTCGACGTTGAGGATGTCGGAGATTAAGGAGATATTTCACGCACCGGAGAACTCCGCCATGGAGCGCGTGCTTACTAACGCGCTGGCCGAATGTGAGAGGGATCCGAGCCCGGGCGAAACCAAGCGGTGCGTGGGATCGGTCGAGGACATGATTGACTTTGCAGTCTCGATCCTCGACCGCAATGTGGTGGTTCGGACCACTGAAAATGTGAGCGGATCAAAGCGGAAGGTGATGATCGGAGCAGTCAGTAGAATCAACGGCGGAAATATAACCAAATCGGTTTCGTGTCATCAAAGTTTGTATCCCTACTTACTGTATTACTGCCACTCCGTGCCTAGGGTTAGGGTTTATGAGGCTGATATCCTTGATGTGGAGAGTAAGAGCAAGATCAACCACGGTGTTGCCATTTGTCACATTGACACGTCATCGTGGAGTCCGGGACATGGTGCATTCGTGGCACTGGGGTCCAGTCCGGGAAAAATTGAAGTCTGCCACTGGATATTCGAGAACGATATGACATGGACAATTGCGGATTAAGGACTGATGACACTGTTTTGTCTTCCATGTTACACTGAGATTTATTGTGGTAATTAAGAAGCTTTTTGGTTCGGTGATTTCTTTGTTTTATATATGGTTAAAGTTTGGGAGTTTGTTGGTTCAATGTCTGCTTTTCTTTTGCTTTTAATTTTTAACAGACAAATGCTTTGATTTCACACGAATCATCGATCGAGTTAGCTAGCTAGGTTTGGCTCTTAAATCTTAATACTTAATTGAGTTTGAATTCATGCTTTCATCCAAACCGGGCAATCATAGATAGATAATTGATTTTTGTTCATTGATTTTCTTTAAATCATTTGATCAGTTGAAAATTGAAGGGAGTGTGTGATAGGTAAAATTGAGTGTGTGTATTACGAATAAGAGCATAAGGCAAAACACCTCCAATGCATATGGGACTTAAAACTCATGTTTGGGTTTTGAGGTAAAAGTGAGACCTAAATTTGGGTCTTTGCATTAGAGGAGAAAATGCTGGACTCAAAACTCATATTTGGATTTAACAATTTGGTTATGTGCATTGGAGCTTATTGGACTTAAAACTCAAATCTCAATTTTTTGGTTGAATAACATTTTCCTAGTTAGTATGAGCGCCAGCTTGAACTCAAATCTCATTTAAAACTCAAATTTGGGTCTCACTTATCTCAGAACTCATATTTAAATTTTAAAGTTCATGTGCATTAGAGATGTTTTACTTTGTATTTATACTCAAATCTCATAACATATCATGTTGCCTAATTATTTTATATGCATTCTGAGCTAGGACACCTTGGAGTAATTTTTCGGTGTACCCGGCACACCAATTTTTTTTGGTGTACCCTCACTCATAATGGTGAGGGTGCACCAAAAAAATTTGGTGCACCCTCACTTTTTGTACACCAAAAAAATTCTAATGAGTGAGGGTACACCAAAAAAATTTGGTGTACCCGGTACACCTAAAAATTTTTCGACACCTTGACATTACATAATAAAAAGTAATATAAACAAGCCATGTGCAAACACAAAGGAAAAAGAGAGTTGCAACAAGAAAAAGGAGCGAAAAGGGGGTGAGATAAATAAAGGAGGTAGACAGATATTTATAAAGAAGAGATTGAGATACTAAATCAAAAGATATATAGAAGAATGAAGATCAATATGATCTCAAGGAAGGAAGGAACAAAATCTTTGCTGGGTATATATGTGCCACATTCTACGTATCATCACGAGAAATTTTTTAAGTGCGTCAGGAACACAGCCTAGCATATTAAATATAATAATATAATTAGTTGGAGTACTTAGATCATCTCTAACCTAAGGGTCCAGAGGGTCGAAAATAGCTCGAAAATCATCTCCAACCGAGAGCCAAACCAAAGGGCTTGTGGGCTCCATTGGAAAAAAGGGCCAACCGTCCCCGGGCCGGGCTCCCATTCAAACCCCAACGGCTAGTTGACGTCTGTTACCGTTGGTTTTTTATTACTATTTTTATTTTGGCCAAAATATTTTTAAAAAATTCTAAAAAATTCTCATTTTTTCCTATAAATACTTAAACCATTCCTACACCATTCGTCACAAATTTTTCACTATTTCAATTCTCATATTTTCTTACCTCTTCCAATAATATTTCCTTCAATTTTTTCAATAATTTTTAAATGGCCTCATCTGCAATGAAAGGTAGGGCTTGGACCCGAAAAGAAGATGAAGCTCTTTGCGGGGCTTATAGATGGGTGTCAGAAGATAGTGTGAGGGGGAGTTCTGAAACAAGTGAAGGTGTTTGGACTCATGTGTCCAAAAAATACTTAGAGTTATACAAAGACACCACTCCACCGAATACTCGAAACCATGAGAGTTGTTCATCAAGATGGAAGAAACATCTTCAGCCAAGTTTGAACAAATGGCATCAAGCACTGTTAGCAGCCGTAAGTAGACATGAAAGCGGTGCTAATTGCTACGACGAAGTAAGTGTTTTCACAATTTATTTTAAATATTTAATTATATTACATTTAATTTCGTAAATTAATTTCCTTTAATTTTTGTAATTATATATTCTAGCTATGACAAGCGAAAGAATTGTATATGGAAGGCAGCTCGAAACCCTTTCAGTTTCACAGTTGTTGGGAAATTTGTAAAGGGTGGGTGTTATTTAAAGATCCACCTCAACATAGAGTAGGTCCTACGCCGGTGATAGGAACTACATCCTCAGTTGTAGATATGGATGAATATGGATCTCCTACCATTCAACAAACAAAGGTAGAAAATCTGTCTTCGAGTGAAGGTTCTATACCTAGGGTTATGAGACGAAACAAGGCTCGAAGGTTGAAGGAAAAGGGCAAGGCAACATATGATTACACCGCTCAACAGGAAGTGGCAGGCCTCATTGTGATTAATGGTGGAGTAAAATGCCTTTGTTGCAGAAGAAAGGAACTGTAGGCATGATGAACGGGCCAAACAAATAAAAGAATAGATGGATGATAAGAATATGGAAAGGAACACTTCGAATTACACTCCAATGAGTAAGGCCTATTTTGATAGAAAAAAAAAAGAAGAAATTATGACTTGGCGGCAGTTGTTTACCTCCTACTATACTCCTACAATAGCGGATGATGAAGATAATGATGATTTTAGATATTAAATTTAAATTGTTGTAGTTTTTAAATTTAAGTTGTTGTAGTTTTTAAATATAAGTTGTAGTTTTTAAATTTAAATAATAAATTATGTTTGGCTCTCGGTTGAAGAAGGTTTTTTGTGACTGTGTTAAAACGAGCCCTATGGCCTTTTGACCCTCGGTTGCAGATGGTAAGAAATATGACTCTGTACTATTCATTAAAATATTAATTTATTGGAGAACCAGGGGGCGTTTGTTGCGTCGGACTATCTCAGACTGGATTAGCTTCAAGGACTAAGCTGGACTGGCTTAGACTAGACTAAACTGGACTAACTTAGTGAAGCGTTTGGTGCAGTATTGGACTAAGAAGCT